GAAATGACTCGGAAAAAAGTATTTGGTAAAAAGTCTATTCAAGTACTGAAATTATCAATCATTTAATATTTAAAAATTACATGATCAGACAGACCAAAATATAAAGGTAAGTGGAAATGTTGATATTTTAAGGAAATAATATAAATATAAATAACAAAACATAATAAATTAGTAAAATTATATTTTTCCAAATCAGTTTCTTTCAATATAAAACTTATGAAACTTTAACAAAAACTACAGGTGTGTGCCTGTGTCTGGTGAAGTTTTGGTTACAACATCATGTTTGTTCTTCATTTGGTGTAGTTACAGAGTATACAGAAATTTTACTAAAATAAGAATAGCGATACTCCATAATAAACTGACTCAAGTAAAAGTAAGTACAGCAGAGTAAAAATATTCCTACTCAAGTAAATATGGCTGATTAAATTTAACTATTTACTACCCAACTCTGATAAATAGTAACCCGTCTCCCATGAAATAATTGCTCATGTTCGAATTGAATAGTCAATATTCAATATATATTGAGTATTCACTGATCTACGATTAAAAACAGCACAGCATTCTGGGAGATGTAGTCTTAGGAAATGCTTTAACCTATCAAGCTGGTTTGGTGGAATCAACTAACTCACTCGCTCTTTGGTTACCTAGCAACGGCTGACTAACTTGGGCAGCAGCAGTTAAAAGGTTTGCTGCCGTGCCTCTTAAAAATAAAAAACGGTATGGAGTAAAAACTGTGGATAAAAGAGGAAAGGTCCTGCCACCAGTTTGGCAGTATTTCAGATATTTAAAACAAAAAGCTAACCAGTAATTATTGATATTGACTGATATGAAACACTTATATTGGGATAAGTTCTTCAGCTAATATTTTATAGCCCTATATATTTACATAATCTTATAACATATTTATTATCAAGAATTATTAGTGTTCTTTTTACAATAGGTATTGTAATTTCTGTGGCTGACGGTGAAGTTTTATTTGGATTGAGGGAGAAAATGTCTCTTTGGATTGTAAAGACGCGCTTTAAAAGCTAAGCGGTCTGAAACAGTCTGGCTCTCGCTGTTTGTTGGATGAGGAAGGGGGTATCCATGCCTATTTGTTTACATCTTGCTGTCAAAGATGTAAGAAAAAATTATAAAAAATTCAGCGTTTGTATTTTTTCTGACGACAGAAGGTTGCGGCTTCACTCTCAAACTTTACACTATGATGGACAGCACCTTGTTAAATATGTTTTCCATCCGCCAGGAAATTCTGGATCCTGTCAGTGAATGAAATCTAAAATAACAGACAAAATCTGATCAGAGAGGTTAAAATGTGAGTAGATCTCATCCACCTTGAAAAACTAAACTGTTTTATACTAATTACGGCAATCAGTCAGTTATTTATTCACCTTCTTCGAGTTGTGCTGATGTGGAGCAGATTTATTTTCTGCGAAGCTTGTTTTGTTTGTGTTACTGAACAAATCATTTAACATGTATACCAGAGGAGATTTTCGCAAACGCGGCTCGACTGTTAAAGCTGCGTTCAAAGCTCCCTGGAGGACCTTCTCGACCTTCACGCCTCGGTTTGGTTTTATCGGATCGATACCTTCAGTTTCCTCTGATCAGTGTCTGCGTTGCTCATGGATTATTTACTGATGTTGGTCTTACCTGCAGCCAGTCAATAATTCAGACTGCAAACCTCAGTCCTGCTGAGGATTCCTGAATTATTGTTATTTACTGTAAAACTAAATTAATGCTAAAAGATTAAATATGAAAACTTTGATTTGTAAAGCTGCATGAATCCAGAAGTGACACATGGGCTTTAGAAAACAAATTGATTTCACAATTTGTTTGAAACCATTAAACATTAGATTAAAATCGGATTTGATCCTTTTAACATCTGGACAATAACTGACTGAAAACAAGTGAATATCAAACGAGATCAGGATTAGGATTCTGTTGAGAATCTAGAAGTTTTTAAAATTAAGAACTTGTTGAGAATCAGGAACCTGTTCAGAGTCAGGAATATGGTCGACATCTCTCAGGAAAGAATTCAAATTATGACATATTTTCAGAATCAAGACTGAGTTTAATCAAGAACCTGAATTTAGATTCAAGAATCTTTTGAGAATATCAAATTTGCTCACTGTCAGGATCTAGAAACTGTTCCAAATCAAGGAACTTGTTTAGAATCATGAATCTGTTCAGAAGTGATTGATCTGTTCATTCAATCTTTTCAGAATCAAGAATCAGAGCTCAGCATCAATCCAGATCAGATTAAATCTGGATTAAAATTGGAACAAAAATGATAGAAAAATCTGTATCAAGGCAAGGAAAATTTGAAAAATTATGGTTTTCTTTGGAGTTTACTGAACAGAGCTGCACAATTAGACCTGCAGACGTTTGTTAAACAGCTGGTAACAGTTGAAGGTTACACTGCAAAAACAGAAAATCTTACCAAGTAAGATTAGCACACCTGAAATAGGACAAAACTAACTTAAAAGTAACTTTTTAGCAAGGTATAGAAGCATGTTTTAAGTAATTAAATACTTAATATTGATGAAAAATACTTGTTCCATTAGCAGATGAATTAGCTTATAACCATGGAAAATGTCTTGTTATAAGTGAAATAATCTGTCAACAGAACTAGTATTTTTTCATCAATATTAAGGAATTATTTACTTCTAGATATTGCTAAAAGGTTACTTTTGTTAGTCTTATTTCAAGTGTACTAAGACATTTGCACTAGAAACTAGATGCAAAATTACTTGGTAAGATTTTCTGTTTTTGCAGTGAACTTATGCAAACACAGCAGCTCAATACAAACTCAGATTTGGATGGATGGATTTTAGTCATCAGCCGATGATGCTGAGTGTGAACTGGCATTGAGTAACCCTCTCACTCGCTGTGAGCAACACCTTTCACCACACACAGAGACACCTTGGTGTTTCACATTTAAAACCGCTCTGCGCTAAGCCACAGCAATTTAACAATTTTCCATCCAGTGTGAACCAAATGTTATTTTCCAGAAAACCGAAGTAGATCATCTTTTTCTTTGAGATTTAAAACTCTTAAAAGGAAAAATTCAGTAAAAAACAATAAATATTTAGTTTTGTGCTTTGTTTGGGTCCAGTAGTGTGGTTTTAAATGTACACTCTGTTAGGAAATATTAAATTAGAATTTTTGTTTCTTCTCATCCTCCATGAGTGAAATAGCTGCTCAATTTGTTAAAACATTATTGATTTTCTGTGTTTTTAAATTAAGTTTATATATTTGGAATAATATTCAGACTATAAAATCATCATCTGTCAGACAGAAAACTGAACTTTAAAACTTTAATGCAGCAGGATCTCTGACCTGTGCTCTACTCTAGCAAATTAGCTGAAATGTCACACAAATGGTTCAGTTTTGCAGATTTTTTTTTTCAATTTTATCTATTAAGCATTTATTTGGTTTTTGAAGACTTCGGAAAATCTGGATTTTTTTCACCAATACTTTGATTTCCATAATTCAGAGTGATGTCAGCGCGCCCAGAGCCGCCATCTTGTTTGACAATCGTGTTTTATTGCTTCTCTTGATTTGGACTTTGAATTCAGGTTAACTCTACAACAAAGGAGCAGGACCAGAGTAAGATTATTTTTAAATTATGAGAATGAAGTCAGAATATGAGAAGAATGAAGTAGTAATTTTATGAGAACTCCTGCACAAAAATGCCAAAAAATCGAAATGAGGAATGTTGAGCATCTTGTAAAGTTATACTTTAGTATCGGTTTCACAAAAAAGAAAATACTTCATCTTTTAACAGATGAATCAGCAAAAGTCCTGCTACTGATGGCATCAAATTATTATCATTGTGACAGGACTTTGAAACAGCTTCCACAGTAGATCTCAATAACTTTAGAGAAATACTTTTCTCTTTAAAGCGACTTTTTTTTCTTCTAATTTTCAGACTTTTTTATTTTTGCATCTTTAATCTGCAAAAATAGTCATTAAACAATTTTTTTGAAATTTTGTAGCACTCTATTGTACAACTGAAATAAAACCAGCTTTTTGAGAATATTTTCCTTCATTTGTATCGTTTTAATTTTGCCAATGCTTCTTTAATATTGATGAAAAAGTTCTAGTTCCACTGGCAGATTTTTTTACTTATAACATGGGAAAATATCTTGTTACAAGTAGAATAATCTGCCATTGGAACTAGAACTACTTAATCAATATTAAGGAATTATTGGCTTAAAATAAGCTCCTTTATCTTGCTGAAAAGTTACTTGTAAGTTAGTTTTGTCTTATTTCAAGTGTATTAAGATATTTGTCAGGAATCTAGACACAAAGTACTTGGTGAAATTTTCAGTTTTTTAATTGTATTGCCTAGCCCTACTTTATATTTAATAATATTTATCTGTCTTTTATTTTTTAGTATGTCAGAAAACACAAACTCCAGTAATGTTACATTAGTAACCCACAGCACTGACGCGTCGTTTTGGCACTTTTGAAACGGATCTTTGCTTTAAAGAAGCAGCTTAATAAACCCGACTGATAAAAAAATAATTTGTGGACTTCTGCGCACTGCAAAATCACAAAATATTACCAAATATTTTTGGTGTAGTTTCTTGTGTAAATACCTCACTAAACATGAAACAAGACAAAAGTAATGTACAAGTAATATTCAGCAAGATAAAAGAGTTTATTTTAAGTAAATAATTTTTTAATATTGATGAAAACGTTCTAGTTCCACTGGCAGATTATGTCACTTATAACATGGGAAAATATCTTGTTACAAGTAGAATAATCTGCAAGAAGAGCAAGAACTTTTTCATCAATATTAAGTAATTATTTACTTAAAATAAGCTCCTATATTTTGCTGAAAAGCTTCTTGTAAGTTAGTTTTGTCTTATTTTCAGTGCAATAAGATATTTGCACTAGAAACCAGATCAAAAATATTTGATGTGGTTTTGTGTTTTTCTGTTTTTGCAGTGCGCCCGGAGGAACCTTCTGCCAACAAACGCAGGCGCTCACTTTCATCTTAATAAAACTATTTTTTAATCAATGACATGTCATGTTGGGTGCAGAAACGCACTACAAAGATTACATCTGATCAACATAGAAAAGCTGTGAAACTGTCTCGGGGTCAAAGTTCAGCAGGATTCTCTGAGCAGCTACACGTTCGTCATGCCTCTCTTTAGCTCCTGCAGCTCTGTCTGGCTGTGGCTGCGCAGTCGGCAGTCCCTGGCTGCGGCCTCGGCCCGCTGCAGCATCTTCTGCTGTAATCCGTTAATGTGTGAGCCAGGGCCTCCCTGCAGGGGCCCCAGCGGCCTGAAGCTGGAGTATCCAGGGATGAACGGGGAGGCGTAGTACAGGTGCCTCGGCAGGGCGGGGCCGTGGCCCAGAGAGCTCCGCCCCCTGCTCTGCGGCGAGTCGCTACTTCCTGTGTTTTTGTCCACAGACGTGGCGATTTCAGCCAGGGACCACAGTTTGGGCTTCGGGGCCGGGTTCGGCCCCTGGGTGGTGCCGCAAGAATCCAAGGAGCTCGGTGATGACGTATGCTCGGATCCAGAGGCTCTGAGGGCCTCCAGGGGCCCGCTGTGAGGAGGGGCCGCAACATGGGGCAACCTCTGGTCCAAAGGGGCCCGGTCGGTGCCGGTGTCCTCCCGGAATGCCAACCGGCTGGAATCTGAGGCGGAGGGGTGATGGACGCCTGTGGAGAGAAGAGAAGTGGATCAGAACAAGAAAAAATAAAACAAACAAAACATAATCAATCAGAAACAGAAAAATCTGGGTCAGAACCAGGGAGGGAAACAATTAATCGACTTATTAACAAATGCTGTATGGGTATCTCACAGGAGACTTTGGATAGTAAACATCATAACAATAAATTAATTTTCTAGATATAATTTGCAAAGAGCAGAAATTGTGACATGACACATGTAAATATGTATAAAGTTTGACATATTTGGATGAGACAGTTATGACTATGATTTATTAAGTTTGCCTTTTTTGTTATTTTTTTTTCTGTGATATTTTACTTTCTCTATGTATATAAAGATTTAATTTCATTTCAAAGTTAGTTCCAATGAATGAACTAATAACGTCCGCTTAGGCCTTCTTTTAGTGTCGTAGTTTGGCCGCCATCCTGCAGAGGGCGCCGCTGTTTATTAAGCGGAACCGTTGATACAGAAACAAAGATGGCGGCGGTTTCTCAGAACGGGAAAGAGAAACGATACAGAGTCCGGTTTGGGATGGAAAATGCAACTTATGAGGTTCTGCTTACACCCGACAAGCTCCTTAAGTTAAGTTTTACTTTAGTATCGCTCTTTCAGCCGAGCTGCATGACGAAGCAAACCAAAAAGTCTTGATGTGCTACAAAGGAGAGGATGTTATCGAAAAAAAGCGAAAACAGAAAATGTGATTGATAATGAAAAAGAAACCATGATGTCAGTAAGCACTTCTGAGTTAAAGCACTTCACAGAGTTTTAACTTTTCTTTTGAGAGCAACCACAAATCGTACTTTGAATATCTCTCTTTTCTTTCAGGATTGATTGTCTTCTTTTATTTTTTTTTTAAATCAGCAACCTGAGGTTCCTGTTTTGTTATATTTTATAAATATGCCTCGGTGTAATAATTTGAGAAAACCACAATTATCTACTTATGCAATGAGTATTTAAGACACCTGACAAAAAAGCTCAAATGTAATTATTTTTTTTAATTCAGCATATTATGAAAACGTAGTCCTTAAGACTGATGTGAGAAAACTCAGTTTTTTAAGAAAATGGCAACTTATCAGTTATGATCAGATTAATCAACTTTAGATGAACTCATTAATCAATAACTTGCATTCTGATCAGAACAGAACAGTCCAAGCTGAAACAAAACAAACTGGGACCAAACTGACAAGTTTGTACGGTAACAAATTAATTAGAGCGGGTCCACATTAAGCAAACTGGGTCAGCTGGCATCAGTTTTACCAATACTGATATACTTTTTTTATTGACATATCAAAAATCAAAAGGTGATTTTGTGATTTTTCCTTTGAATTATTTTGTTAGAACTTGAATAAAGTTTACATGTATCTACAAAATATTTAAATAACATATTAATATGATAAACAAAAATATTAGAACAGAACAGTTTTGTGTGGGATTTTTCAGAACTAAAGTGCAAAAAATTATGTTTTATTTGAGAGCAAATCAATACTAAACCTTTTTGAGAAACTGCAGTACAAATGTGAGGACAAATTAAATAGAAATTCAATGTGATATATTATGAATCTTGCCACGCTAATTATTGATTCGATATTGTGGATTGATCTGCTCACCTCTAAGGAATAGATAAAATGGTCCAGAACAATGAATGGGGATATTTTTACTAATTTTAATACAAACGTAGACCAAAAAAACAACTAAATAAATCATTAAACAGAATCCCGACTGTCTGTTGGTCAGAACCAATCAATCTGTACACTTTTCAAAATTGTGGATTTTTTTTTAACTTTTGTAGATAAAGAAATTAATCAGAAACTTCTGCAGCAGAAAATTAAAAAACAATAAATGACACAAGATGAACTCAGAAAGCTAAAATCAGAAATTGTGATGATCAGATTTTTGGTTTCAGTCACTTTTAAATGTCAGGAAAATCAGATTCTCCTCCAGGATTCAGTCTGATCGAAAATTAAACGTCAGAGCAGATTCACCTCATCCATTTATCTGAACCTGCAGGATTTTCTATGAACAGAGCAGATCGGAAAAAACATGGAAATAAAAGATTATCTGTTATTTATCCCAATATGAAAGTTTCTTTCGCCAGACTGAATAAAAAAAATCCTCTTCAAATATTAAAAATGATCAAGCTGTCAGATTTTAAAGACAAAAATGATTTAAACTCGGACACATCTGATTATTTTAGTTTTTTTCTATTTATCTACACACTTTTTCCAGAATTTTCTTGAAAAATGCAGCATCTAATCTGTGGAAAATCAGATTTTTATACTGTTGGATATTTTGAAGAAATAAAAGCTTCAGATGAAATAAATGGTTCCTTCTCGTCGTCTCTGGGAATCTGCATCTGTTTCTGCAGCTGCAGCCTCCAGCTCCATCTCTGCTTTCTCTCTTCCAGGTCTGAAAATCCTCCACAGTCCAATTCATCTTCATCTGTGCTTCGGTATCGATTGATCTAGTTATCGATTAAGCAATTATTCTGGCAATTAATCGCATAAAAATAACTGCCACATTCTGTAGATTTTTTATCTAAGCCTTTTTATGCAATTTTAAAAATACATTAAAAGATGCAAGTTAATAATTCCCTTTTTAAATAAGGAAAAAAAAAAAACATTTTATTGCTTAAAGTCCAATAACATTGCTTTCAGTGGATGCCAGATCTTTTTGCATCAAAAGATGCATCTACAGCTAAGAAATTACTTCTTGTGAAAAACTCATCACTTTTATATGACAACATCAGTGAAGGATTAATCTGCTATTTTTTAAATTAAAATAATTATATGGCAAAAGATGCTTATTTGATTTATTTTTACCTAATTTAAACCACGTGAACTATGATACTTGAGGAGTTTTGGGTATTTACAAACAAAAGGTTTTTTTAATCTTAAAACAAAATGTATGTATTTTTGTACAGCTTTGGCTTAATTTCTGCTCTGAGTGTGTTTTTCTTTCAGCAAACAGCCTTTTATTGGAGTCTTTGTACTCCAGTTAATGATTAATCGATTACTGAATTAGTTGACGATTATTTCACTGATCAGTTAATCATGATTAATCAATTATTTTACACTCTTTGAAGAATTTTGAATGTGTAAGAGTTGCAGCATTTATTTCCCTTTAGGGATCAATAAAATATTTCTGAATTTGAATTTAAAACAGGAGTGATCAGTTAATTGATAATTGAGCAATCGATTAATCGGTGCAGCTGACCCTCCTGTAACCACTCACCGCTGTCGCTCCGCAGCTCCGTCTCCTCCTCGGTCAGCTTCAGTGGCTCGTCATCTTCCTCGGTGCGCTCCAGGTCGATGGCGTCCTCCTCCTCCTCGTCCTCGCTCCGGTTCCGCGGCGTCCACGTCATCTTGTTCTCCTTCTTCAGCCGCCGCCGAGCGTTGGCGAACCAGGTGGAGACCTGCGTCAGCGTCATCTTGGTGATGATGGCCAGCATGATCTTCTCCCCCTTGGTGGGGTACGGGTTCTTCCGATGCTCGTTGAGCCAGGCCTTGAGCGTGGCCGTGGCGTCCCGCGTGGCGTTCTTCCTGTAGGTCGGGTCTCCGTACGGGTAGGCCCCCAGGGGCCCGAAGGCATGGTAGTCCAAGGATCCGGAGACGCCGGAGGATGGATCGTAGCCCGGGTTCTGCAACATTAAAATATCACTTTAGTCTGGAGATTCCTAATCTAGATGGGATTATTTCAGTGAGGAAAACAGAAGGAATTTAATCTGGCATCTTCACTGCCCAAGGCAGTGAAGATGCAGAAACAACCTGACCACAATATTATTGTCAATTTCAACAAACAAAAATAACAGAAAAAAAAAAAAAGAAATATGGTTGCTGAGTCAAACAAAAACATTTAAAGGTAAAAATACATTGTGTGAGGAGCGATTAAAGATTACAGACTGGAATTATGGCTGGACATTCAAATTTATATAATTTTACCTTCCTAAAGTCAGGTTTTGCCAAATGTTATTTTCTTTTTGTCTAAAACATATTTTGGAAAGAAAGAGGTGGTGATTTTTTTTTTTTTTTTTAGCTTGGACCATTGTTTTATAAAGGCAATGATAATGTATGGCTTTTATCTATGTCTGCTTAGTTTACTGTAATTTTACAAGTTGAGCAATTTGGTTCTGTGCATTGTTGTCTGACATAATGATATCTATCTATCTATCTATCTATCTATCTATCTATCTATCTATCTATCTATCTATCTATCTATCTCTTTGATTTATCGAAATAGTTGATATAAAAGTTAGAGTAAATATTCCCGAGAAAGATTTATGTTTTACATTTCTTACTTTAAATTTTCAAAACATTCTCTAAAGTCAGTTTTTACGCACACATTTCCAATTTTCCGCTCCTGTCAGACTTTTCTTTCACTTTCTGTCCCGCACCTGAACGCAGAAAGCAGAACCCCCGCAGCTCGGACCCGGCACTCACCATGAACGAGCTGATGGTGGCGGCGGCCCGCGGCTCTCCTCCGTACGGCGAGTGGGAGCTGAATCCGGGGGAGGAGGTCGCGGATGAGGAGTACGGAGCGAAGGCTGAGCCCTCGGTCCTCTGACCCAGGATGATCCCGGAGCTGAAGGGCAGAGCCAGGGACACGGAGGGCTGGAAGAGGAACCCCTGAGGATAGGCCATGACGGAGCCGGACACTTTTACGCACAGACGAGCTCACATCGGAGAGTTTCCCCGCTCAGAAGGAGGAGAGAGCGGACAGGAGCATCCAGGAGCATCGCAGGTGCGTTCAGGTGCAGGCTGAGTTCTGCAACCGCTTCTCCACTCCGGCTGCCGCGGAACCCACGGACACACTGAAGACACGCAGAGGGAGGAGAGGCTGAGCTCCTCCTCCTCCTCAGACACGCACCTCCTTCACTTTCTGACGCTGCCGCCTCAGCAGAGCCATGCAGGTGAACACTTAGAACACCTGAGTCCCGGACAAAGCTTTGTGGTTCCCAACCTGAGGTTCGGGGACTCTGGGTTCAGCTCCCAACAGGGAAGGAGATCAATTTCTTTCACCTCCTAAACTTTCTTTTGAAAATAAAAATCTGTTTCATAATTAAAAAGTGTTATGAGTTAAACCCTCAGCTATTACTCAGCTAATTTAACAGATAAACAACAATTCAATTAAAAAAATATTATTTTACTTATAAGTGCTGAAAAAATTTATTTATAATGTCATCAAACACAGAATATGGAAAGAGTGACAAAACAGAGTGATGCAGATAAAGGACAAAATTAACTGTCACGTTTCTGTGATGCAAATGTTGCATTCAGTGAACATGGAAAAAAGAATGCTGCATTCACTGTCCTAATGGCACAAAATGTTGCATTCACTGACATTATGTGACAAAATCCTTCACTTTTTGTCATTACTGGACTAAATGCTGCATTCTATGTCTTTTTAATTCGTTGAACTCACTGTAGTTGCTGGTAAGAAAGATGCTGCATTCACTGTCTTTATTGGACAAAATGCTGATTAGTGTCATCATTGAGCATAATTATGTTTTCACTGTCTTTGCCAAACAAAATGCAACATTTACTGTCATCAGGGAAAAAACACAACAGCCATTACCAGGAAAAAAACAGGATTTGATGTAATTTTAGAACATCTCTAGTTGCTAATGTGGAAGAAAATGCTGTAGTTAATGTAATTTTTAACAAAATGTGTTTTTAACATATGATTGCATTCAATCAAACATGTTCACTGTCACTGACAAATTACATTTAACTATTAGATTTCTTTGTTTTAGTGTTATCGTTTTGACCAATCTGTCTTGTTAGAAGTTATGCAATAAGGTAAATATTGTTTTAAAAAGTACAATTTCTAAACAAAATAGATTATCTGTGACCTATTAGATGGTAAAATACAATCAAAAACAAATCCATGCTGAACTTTTCAAAGTTGCAATCAGCTTTTTGTAAAGATGTGTTGAATTAATTCTTTGCAAAAAATAAAACCTGGAATAGTGATCAGAGTGACGGTTATATGTCTGTCAGTTGCATTTTAATCTAGAATATTTGATTATTAATGTCACCAGCTGAAATGTTCAGAGTGACACCAAGAGTCTGACTCCCTGCAGGGTATGTTCAAATGAATGTGACTCTTTGTGCTCATTGAAGTCGTAGAGTAAAAGATCTGAGTGTTAATCTGATTTGTAGGCTCTATAATTAGCAGAGCAGAAGCTTTTTCTCTCAGCAGGAAGAGAGTGAAAGGTCCATCACTGCTCGTCAGTGGTGTGTTCGCAGTCAGGAAGAGAAGTGGGTTTCCTCTGTTTGGATGAGCAGAATCAGGCCGGACTCTTCACATCTACAGGCGAGAGTTCAGTTGGAGGACCAAGCTGTAAATTTATCACCTGGTGAGTCTGATTACACCTCAACAGATCCCTAACTGTCTGCTCTATGTTCAGTCCATACAGGCTGATAAATACTCTTTGGAGTAACTATGGAAAGATGGATCATTTATAAGAGTTTTTTAAAAGATGGAAGCCATCTTTTCCTGTCTTTGCTACAGTAGAGACCAACAACGGAGCTTTTGTCTTTGTTTCTGCATGAAGAAGATCCCAAAAAGTTTCAGTTCATTGTTAGGAATGAAAAAAAGTTCAACCTGATGCTGATGTGGATACATTTCAGGGGCGTATTGAAAAGACTAATAGTTGACACAAGATTTAACTAGAAGCAAGAGTTGGAGGTTTGGTGTGTTCAGGGTCTTGGACATTTTGGAGCCTTTCAAGCGCTTTAGTGAATTACCCACACAAGACATTGTAGCAGTTATTCAGAAAAGCAGTTTGAATGAAAGTTTTTTGTTAGTGTGTTTAGGGTTGAATAAGGACTCCAAAACTAAAGATCTCAGAGGACAGGCAGAGCAGCTTTTCCAGGAAGTTCCTATAGGGAACATCGGTTTCCTGTTGATCTGCAGACATCCAGGCTTTGATATCCTACAACATAGTTTTGCAAAGAGTGCAAAGGTTTTGGTTCTGATATTGATTTATGTTTAGTCATTTTATCAATGAAACTGCATAGCACTGTGGAAAATAATTTGAAAAAAGTGAATCATGAAAATCATAGAAACGTAGTGGACTGAGTACACAACCCTGAGGTACTCCATGTTTGACTGACAGGCTTTTAAACAACTGGGAAGGTGAGTGAGTGACAAGAAAACCAGATGTGATTAATTACTGGAATCCAGTGCAATTGAGGAAGAATGTCAGCAGGGAAGGTAACACTAAAAAAACAAACATGGAGGGAACAAAACAGGTCTAAAACAACTAAAAATATCAACACAAATGAATGAAAAATTACAAAGACACAAATGGAAAAAAAAACAGAAACTCAAAATAAATAATTTTTGTTGTTTTCAACAAACAACAAAACTTTTCCAGCATCCATTGTACAGCACATAGAGTAGAAAAAACAGCTGATCAAATGTGCCAGAGCTCAGCTTGGGTTGCTAGATAAAGGCTGAACCTAGCTTGGGTTGCTAGGTAACGGGTTGGGCTTTGTTGTGGTTCTGAAGGTTTTTGAATCGGCTCATTTTTCAGACACCAAAACACATTAACTTACTGCCAAAAACTGGCTGGACGGAGTTTTTAAGCGCTTGAATTATTTTTAGAAGCAAAAGAGATACAAATGGGAATTTTGCATTCTAAATCCCCTTTAATTAATTTTGGTTAATATATATTGTCATTACATCACATACTATTTGGACTGATTTAAAACATGAAAAAACCATAAAATAGCAGTGGACAGCTGCTATTTTGAAGGGAAATTAAATCAATACTTTTTTACCAGAAAAATATTAGCTCCAAACCAAATATGAGAAGATGCAGTTCAAGTCGAGCAGAAGTTGGTGCCCTGACTGAGACTATAATCTGTTCACCATCAGGAACGCCCAGCTCAGTTTTCCTGCTGAATCAGCTGAAAGTTTCTCTGTTTAAAGTATGAAAACATCTATGCAGCTCTCGCCTCGGCGCCGAACGAAGGTTGATTCGACCCAATGAAGCCAGAGTAATGTGCGGAGCTCCTCACCAGCCTGGCTGCATTGATTGGTGAAATGATGCGAGCTGCTCCTCTGCAGCAGCAGCGGATTGAATGGTATTTTCACGCTTCTTTAAGCACCTTTCATTAGAGCCCTCAGTGGCAGGACAGGTGAACAATCTTCTTCTACTTCTGCTTCTCCTGCAGGAGGAAGCAGTGGCTCAGAAAAAGGTCTAATTACTCTTTCATCATTGCAGAGTGGAGACACCAGCAGGCCTGAAATCACTCTGTGGTGCAGCTTTATCATATCAAAAAGTTATGTCCACAATTTGCATGAACAAAGTTGAATATTCAGGGAAATGTGCAGCTATTCTCAGAGGTACTTTGTGAGGGTTTTCAGATGAAAGGAGCTTGGTTTGTTTTCCTGCAGCAGCTCATAAATGAGCTCAGCCCGCGGGGCAAATGTCCAGAGGTTACATAAAGACAGTGTGTTTAATTAATTGGAAAACACTCTTCTTTAATAGTTATTATTCAAGTCTGAAATGTGCTCCTTGTTATCTGAGCTCAGACATAATTACCACCCCTGGGACTCCTCTGCTAAGTGTTAGCAGAGAGATTCTTCACAGAGCACATAATAATTTCAGTGATGTAAAGGTCTCCTGTTAGTTTACACGCTGCAGATCTCTGAATTTTATCTGTCATTGAGCTAACAGGAAAACTTCTGAGAAACAGGAACCACAAGATCTATTAATGTGTGCTTCTGATTACATCATCCATCATGTCTCTCCATTTTAAGTTTTTCTCTCTCAAATGTTTGGCTTAGTTAACAAAAGATGACCAGAGGCCCATAGACTCATACATTTAGTTACCTTCTTGCTCCATCTTGCTCAGGTAATCTGCTCTCGATGTGTCCAGATGTTTTTAACCGCTTTCTTAGAATAAGTTTAGCTACTCTGCGCAATCGCTTTATTATGCTGCATCTTTACATAATTTTTTTTACACAAATCTTTGTGTATATTCCGCTGTTAGAAAACTCCCCACACAATTTCACTTTACGTCACACTTCCGTTAACTTTGCAACTGACAGCCACCTTAGCAGGTAGTTGCTATGGAGTTGCTATGACAACAATAAACAAACTAAAGCCTCGAACTCGCTCTGGCCTCGTTCCAATCTAACTTATGAAGAATATAAGTACTTTACAACTATTACTCGATTACAGTTTTTTCAGTACTCTACCCACCTCTGTGTGTGATAAATATCTGTGATATTTACTGTGATATTTACTGCGGAAGTAGCAAAATTAGCATATAGCTAATTTTGCTATATGCTAATTAGCTACATGCTAATTAGCATATAGCTAATTAGCATTAATTAGCTATATGCTAATTAATGCTGCTAATTATATAGCTGCTAATTAAGCTATATGCATTAATTAGCATATAGCTAATGTAAAGACATGTCTTTACATGTCTGTAAAGACATGTCTGTCTTTACAGACAGACATGTCTGTAAAGACATGTCTTTACAGACATGTCTTGTAAAGACAAGACATGTCTGTCTTGTCTTTACAAGCCAAGACAGACATACAGTCTGTCTTAGCTAGACATGTACTTACTCTGCCAGTCACCATAACCTTATTCACGTAACTATTTCGTACGCCCTTTTCAAATCCGTTTAAAGATTGATTATATGCCTCCATAGATTTCAGGCCGTGAAGCTCCTCCATGTTGTACGCACTCTTCGTATTTATTAGGTAGTGAACCATATGAGATCGAAGGCAGCTTGTCCACATCTGACATGTTTTCCTTTTCCGACTCTTACGGGTCGATCCCGACAGCAGCCATTTTGTTCTCTTTTTCTCTCGCGCATTGGTTAAGACTGTTCACTTATTTTTTGTTGGCCTGGAAGCCATGGGTCTGATATGCATTGCGCATGCGCTGGTCTACTAAGACGTTGCGGATCACTTCCCGTTCAGACTTGTGGGGACTTTATTGCTTTAAGGAACTGAATTAAAATCACATAAGTTAGTTCATGAGATAAATCATTAGAAAACATGGCACGTCATCATCCATCGTACTCCTACCTCTTCCTCTTGTGTTTGTCTTTTCCGCAAGTAGTAAGGTCTGCTACATGCCTGCAGTGAGTGTTTTAGTCCCGTTGAGTTTTTAAACTTTTAGGAGTATATGTTCCACCTTCCTAATCTGTGTTGAGTGAATAATGCAACTTTGTAAAGTTTTATTAGCCATTTTGCTCAGTGAATTTCTCTGTGTGTGTGTCTCCCCTCAGAGTTAAAATAAAATGGAAGATGTCTCTAAGCCTCTGTCACCTTCAGCTGCAGAGTGTCAAGATGACCAAGAACTGATGCCAGACCAGAATCCAAAGACTCTTGGAGATGATCAGGACCAGAAATGTTGGCTGGTAAATCCAGATGAAGATGATATCTCTGACAAAGTGCTTGAAGACCACAATCCTCATCTGGATTATGAACCAGAGGTCCAGACAGAAGACAGATTTCCAACACAGACTTATGAAGAAGACTTATCAGGACAGTCAGAGTTCAGTCCAGTTGCAGAGGAGAAGATCCAGGACTGTATGGACAAAGGTGAGCAGAAACTGTAAAGCTTCTGCAGAGTTTCTTTATTACTTATCTGGGTAAATGACATAGTTTGGTTTGCAGGAGAGTTGGGTCGGACTTTCTGGCCCAGTTCAAATCTTACCTAAAGAACAGTGACAATAGGTAACTTCTCATTGGACAGAAATCATGTGTGGGGTACCCCAAGGTTCAATCCTGGGCTGCCTCCTATTCGATATGCTCCCACTAGCTCAGGTTATCATAGGAAGTAAGATTAGCCATCATAACTATGCAGGTGATACACAACTCTACATTATTATGTCACCAGATTGAAATGCTTTGAACAAATCAATGTGTGGATGTCCCATAACCTTTTCCAGCTGAACAGAAACAAAACTGAAGTTATCTTTGTACCTCAAGAGGTACAAAGAGAGATTGTGCTGACTCTAGATCTAGAAATGATCTAGAGTCAGCACACAGCTTCAGTTATTGTAGCTAGAAACTAGTGATCAGGCCCAAAATCCGGGTGTAGTGATGGACTTATACCTGAACCTTCAGAAACACATAAAGACAGTTACAAAGTTGCCCTATTACCTGAAGAACATTTGCAGGAGTAAAGGACTAATATCCCAACAACCATAATTGGCTACTGTGTCATGTTTTAAAGTGTAAAGCAATTTGACCTACCTTGTTGCTGAAAAGGTGCATAAAAATAACCTTGAAATAAGCTTAATTTTTTTTGGCTCAAGACCCTACAGAGTAAGGCTGAAATGCATGATCTGTTAGGATTAAAAGAGAAAACATCTTCTTCCTTCCTAAAACGCATAAAAGTTTCAATGGAACATACTTTACACCAACTGTTAAGCATGGTGGTGGGGGATAATGGTCTGAGCTTCACCTCCTCCATATGATCTGGAATCAAATGCAAGGGTGAAGCTTGACCAAAACTAGATTATTAATAAGCTGATGGTCCTGAAAACAACAGCAAATCTGTAATGGTCAAAAGGGTCAAAAGCACAGAATAAAGACCTAGTCAAAGTCCAAACCATTCCTGGACTGAAATGCTGCACTGGGACCTTCAGAAAGCTGTGCAGAAACATGTGCAAGCTTCTATAAACTCACATGGTGTCCGCACATCCTTAAAAAGTCTTACATTTGTTTCCCTAAAATTAAGGCCTCAAAATATTTAAAATTTAAAAACATTCACAGCAGCCTGTCTACAAAGTTCAGTTTGTTTGGGGAGGTGTGAATGTGTAATCGAACTCTGATGCAGAACAAAAAAGTGAACTCTGGTTTGTCAATAAACCTGGGTTTCTGTTTGATTGAAGTGAACTCTGATGCGGTTCAAAAGCAAACGCCAAGTGGACCAGAGACTGCTCCACAAGCAGGAAGTGGACTACAGTGTAGGGCATTCTGGGTAAATACAACCAAAACAAATGCAAGAGTCTAGTGTTATATGGAGAAATTGCTTGTGGTCTTTTGCCAAAGACAAAATCTTACAACTGCTAAATTCTCATTTACATTTTGTGAAGAAAAAAGTTGCAGTCAGAATTTTCTCCAGAGGTTTTTGTGCGGATTTGTTCAGTGGTTCTTGGTGCAGCGCTCCTACAGGCGAGGGGGAAACAATTTTTAAAGGTTTCGGTTTGTTTGACACAGTACAGTATGAAAGTGAACCACAGCAGCTGAAAATGTAATCTGAAAATGTATCACAATTCTGTTACCCAATGAAATCAAGTCGACCAGACTACAAAGTGTGAAAACAGTCTGTAGAGAGAACTGCAAAATATGCAATCTTCCTCTGTACATTTCTGTTGTCATACAAGTCTTAAATTTCACTCTTTATGGTTTTTAAAAAGCCTTTGAAAGTCTTAAATTTGAGTTGGTGCGGCCCTGCTCAATCAACACTTTAAAAAGAGTGGGATAAAATTCCTGCTGTGAGAGACGGATGAATTCAGACAGAATGCCACCAGTTGCAGCAAAGTTTTGATTTTCTCTACTCTGGTGGTGGGGGATCTGATGTGTGTTTTTTATACACCTGAGGTTAAACTATATTAATTTAAGAACCTTCAGTTGAGTTTACATCTTATAAACCCCAAACCAGCACATTAAAACTTTCCCCATGCCGGAGATGAACCTGCCTTCTCAAATTGAATGAGAGGTTGAAGGTTTTAGATAGATCCTGTGAAAATAAAGCATCAATCCACAGTTTAGACTGTTTCTGCAGAGAGTTAAGCACTGAGGGCCTGGGCGGTGTGAGTCTGCAGTCGGCCAAAGTGCACCAGGAGAACCACGGCAGGAAGCTGGTTGAAGCGCGATAACACCTTTATTCTGGGAGGCATGTGCTCTTCTGCATTGTGAGCGCTGCGGCTTTAACATGAAGACCTGAGAGCCGAAACAAACGGCGAAGAGGCCTCAGAAACAAACAGAAACAGCTCAGAAAGTCGCAGCTTCACCGCAGTCACTGCTGCTCTGTTTGATGTGACAATACCTTGCTTCAGGATCGAACATTACAAAGCTGCTGATTCAGGAACGAAAAATGAGAATCTGTGTTTGCCGTCAACCTGAAAGACAAGTGACACAAACAAAGGCTCTGAATCCGCAGCAAACATTTCTAAAAGATGCGGCCTGACCTTTGTCTCCATTCGTAGGATTCTTTAAACCCAATAACATGAAGAAGTGACATAAAGTACCGCGAGGATCTTTAACGGTTTCTGCTGTCTACTATTTTTTCCTAATAAAAACATTTTGTGCATCAGTTTGGTTCCAACTGTGAAAACTACTTATATGATAACAAATTTGTGTGCATTGTTTTCTAAATAAATCGCAAAAAATATGTAATTTGAGAGCAAATCACAGTAAAAGTTTATATTATGGTAGAGTTGAGAACTGAAATTACAAAAGTAAAATAAAATTTCAAGGGTGGGAATCTGAAACTTAAGTATCAATCTGATACTGAAAGTATTGATATTATCAATATTTTGGATTGATTCGCCCATCTCTATCAAAGACAGCAAGAAGAAATGTTTTATACTGGTCGCTATGATGTCTGTAGTTTTAGTTTTCACTGGTTCAGGTATCTCTGCTGGTGACCTTTTCTTTAAACAAGAATATTATGCTTCCTTGAATAGGTTACGATAGGCTATGGGCTAAACATGAAACATGTTCATCACATTTTTTGCACGTTTTTAGATAATCAGATTTCAGTCTGCTCAGTTCTGTCTATTTTGAGCTCCTTAAGGGCCTCTTGCCACATTAAATCTGAATAATCTACTGCTGGTCACACCCTCAACTCGATATTTACGCTCGAACGTGAAGATGCCTGAAAACCGATGCGCAATTATATAACCATCTTTGAAAAGCAAAAGTAGATAATCCTGCACAACCAACAAGAATGCAGCAAGTGATTTCTGCTAGCAGCCATTGTACAGCAGTAAAACCAACTGTCAAGTCTGGAGCGCTGCTTTAGTTGCTAGGTTACTGCATTGTTCTGTCCATTGTAATTCAACATTCAGGAAGGTTTTTAAACGACTCATTTTCCAAACACCAAAAAACATTAACTTATTTTTTTTTTTAAATGTTTGTACTGTTTTTAGGAGCAGTAGAAACCTGAATGGAAGAAAAAAATGTGCAATATGTGAATTTTGCCTAAGAGGTCCACTTTAAACTTTGTTTCTGTTGATATGAAATTACTGCTTCTCATTTTTATTTTAAATTTGGATATATTTCTTTTTTCAATGTGAAACAGCTTGTAGTTTGTTTTTTATGATTCTTAAAACAGCGCCTCCTAGATGTTCTTTACACTTTGCATGAGCTTATGAAAACTAAATCACACAACATTTCTCTAAAAGTGTCTTTTTCCCCACCAATCAGCCTCCGGTGAGTATCAGAACCGATCAGGACCGGACCTGACGTCTGCTCCGACCAATCAGGGAGAAGCTGGGGAGTCAGGTGGCTGCGTGCCGGCGCTGGTGGTCACTGAGGCGGATCAGGTGAGTCCAGAGACAGAAACGGTCTTTATTCATGAGCTGAGCGCCTCTGTTTGATCTCAGCTCCACGTTGAGCTTTTCTTCTGCCTTTAAACGGCGTCTCTGATCAAAGCCCGGCCCTCCTGACAGCCTTTCACTTTCTTCTTCAAAAACACTTTCCTGCTCACTTTTTATTACCTCTCCGCAGAGTCCGTGGGTTTAGGATGTAATTATACCTGTGTGCTTGTCACACAGTAGATTTAAGAGATGTTGAATGTTTTCAAAACTCTTTTTTTTCGTATGAACTCTTTATCGTATTTTTTTATTTCATTCTGAGTCGTGCATCCTTTCATCACCAACCCGAAGCTCGGTTCATCCTGACACTTTTATTCCTGTTTTCATCATCGTCTGTGTTAACTGCTCATCATCTGCAAACACTCACATTCAGAGCTTTATTGCAGATGACAGCAGCCATGAAGTCCAGATCAGCACTTCATTCATTAAGACACACTTCCCCCTGAACATATGGGTACATAAAACAATAATAATAAAAAAAAAAATCACTGTTTGAGAGATTCTCGGTTCTTTGTTGGTTCTGACATCGGACGGTTTTAACCCAGATGTTTAACAGTTTAACGGTTTCGGTTTAAGAGATGAAAAATTAGGTTTCAATATATAAATTAGCTGATTTTTGTTGTTGTTTTAGGACAGATGCAATTTCTGTTTTCAGATTATTTTTTTGACATTTATGTCACTCCTATTTCTACTTAAACTAGTCTTCCAGTTTAACCCAATGCCGTTCTGGATTAAACCAGTGATATTCTGGATTAAACCAGATTCCCTCCCGATTAAACCAGTGCTGTTCCACCTTAAACCACTGCTTTAATATGCGTTTAGCAGGCATTTTATATTTATATTTATATAAATATAAAACAGTCCGGTAATAAAACTAGGCCGATATTAACAATCGATATTTGTTTTCATCTTCTTGTCATTTGTCTCATTTTCTTTCCAAATGTATCGAAACAGCAGAAAAGTACATATAATAAATATCGATATCGGCCATATGTTTTATATCGGTGCATCCCCAGTTAATTATATGAATTACTGGGGATGCACTTAACTTTATATTTTGGTTTGTCTGATGATGTAATTTCTAAATATTAAATGATTGATCATTTCATCAGTTACTCAGTACTTCCAGTAGACTTCTTACCAAATGCTTTTTTACTCAATATTTCTGAGACAAAGTAGTGACACTCTGACTTGAGTTCAATGTTTATGAACACCTCTGGCCTTATTTCAAGACAACTAAGCTATTTGGACCTAAGTACTTGGTATTTGCAGTGTGGAGTCCTGCATGGTTTCCTGCAGAGTTTGCTTTGGTGACTCGGCGGAGGCCCAGACGCAGGTTTATCCCTCTGTGGACCTGATAGGGACAGAGCTGCAGCATTTCCTCCGCTGCTGAATCGCTGCGCTGAGTGGAAGGAAGTGGTCGCACCGCCTCTGATGGAGGAGGGAAGGAAGACGTGTGAGAGAGTTTCTAATATACTTCCACGCTTCCTCGCTGAAGTGAAGCACCTCCAAATAAGTTTCCTCTGCAGCTCGGTGGCACACGGCGCAGGAGCACTTCAACCAAATTGACTTTACTGATGTGAATTATGAAGATACTGATATCATGCATAAAGTTATTTCGCCCTCAGTAGAATTCAAATAAGTCCTCCCTGAGATGGTGATATGGGAACTAATATGAATGCAAATAGGATTAGGCTCCTGCATTAGTGTCTGATAAACAATTTACAGGCTTGAATGTTCACTGGGGGTTCGCTTTCTCTGCTGTTTGGGGGAAGAGGCAAGGAGTGGGGGGGTCCTCATCACCTTATCAGGGTTAACCCTCCATCATCTGCTGCTGTTAGCCTTCACCATGCTGCCGCTGCTGCAGCTGCAGGCGCAGGAAAATAATGAAGACAAATCTAAATGCAGCCAATTATTGGAGAGGTCTTTACAGGCCGCATGGAGCTGGATTCTTCCCGTTTAAATCAGTTTTAATCTGTCCTGAAGGGGGGGAACGCTGACAAAGGACGAGTTGAAAAATGAAATAAAAACATCACTGCGAGGAAACAGACGCTATAACAAAGGAATGCAAGTAGGGTTTGAACAACATGTGAATCTGCAGCAGGTCTCTTTCTGATCAAACAGCGACAGGAAGCGAACAGAATGACATCAAGGATGGCTCACCAGCTGCAGACAAACTGAAGGGGCTGTGGTCGTATTAAACCCCTTTTTATCGTCACCTCCTTCCTGTTCCTGTTTTATCGTCACCTCCTTCCTGTTTGTCTGCAGAGTCTTCAAGAAGAAAGATGTCGTGCCACACCATGCTTTCTTCCTACTTCTGAGATTTTATGTATGAAGACAAACAAAAGGATCAGTCAAGCAGCAACAGGAAATTACAACCATTACTGCAAAAACAAAATCTTACAAAGTATTTTTGGTCTAGTTTCTAGTGCAAATATCTTAGTACACGGAAAGTAAGACAAAACTAACTTAGAAGTAATTTTTCAGCAAGGTATAGGAGCTTGCTGTAAGTGAATAATTCCACAATATTGATGAAAATATTGTACTAGCTATATGGGAAATAATCCATCAGTTCAACAGTGGAATAATTACGACGGAGGTGCATTGTAGAAAGCAACAAATTTCAGTCAAAAAATACTCACGAGTTATGAGATTAATCTCAGAAATTTTCTAGAAAAAAAACTTGAAATTTTCTGAGTTTCCAAAATCCAAAAATCTTTTGCTTTGAAACTCAGAAATGTCCTCGTTTTTTCTAGAAAATTTCTGAGATTAACCACAAATGTGATTTTTAGCAATTTTTTGACTTTTGAAAATTCATTAATTTTCTTGTTTTTGATATAGATTTTCTTAAATTAATTTGAAATTTTCTGAGATCGTTTCCAACCAGTTTTTGACGTCTCAAACCCAGAGATTTCCTTGTTTTTTTTTTTTTT